AAAAAAACTTTATAATTTAATAATTTATAAACATAATTCCAGAAAATACAAATAGAATATCTTTGAAGATTCTTATTCTACTATTCATAACGTGTGTTTAATTCATTAGCATTCTAAATCCAATAAATTTGAACATAAAAGTTTGTTTGACACGTTAGATTGATTGAGATTAACGTTAATTTCACCTCTTCAAAGTTTAAACAGACATTCAAACATGCTTTCAGACAAGGGACAGCAAGTATCCAATGACAATTACAGACCAATAGTTAATTTTTGAAAAAAAAAACAATTTTGAAAAATATGAGGAAAAAAATTATCATGTTAAGTAAATAATTATACACTAATCTGATTCTTTATTACTCATATATTACCAAATAACTACAGTTTAATCATATAAAAAAAGTTTCTCAATAACTCATGTTTTTCACATTTTTTTTTTCAAAATAATGTATTTATGAAAAGATCGAAGTTATTTCAATAAAAAAAATTTAAAAGGTAAAATTATTGATATTTCTTTTTAATCGTTCTTTAATGTTATTGAAAAAAATAAAATAAAGAATCATAATTTAAAGAAAAAATAATTATTATAATTTATATATTTAAGAATTTATAAAATATCTAAGAAAGAAAAAATATATAACACTTAATTAATAGAGAAAAAATGGATGAAAATAAAGAGAACAAAATAAAATAAACTTTTTAAAAAATTAAGCATACAAAAAAATATAAACAAAACACGTTTTAATATCTATATTTCTACTAAATTTATATAAATGGATTGCTGTTCTATTCACTTTTGGTGTCATCAAATAATGAAAAATAAAAATATTATAAATTAAATAAAAAACAATTATTATAAGTTATATATTTAGAAATAATAACAATATGAGAGATAAAACACACAATACATAATTAATTAACAAAAAAAATAAAAAAGTAAAATTTAAAATTATATTTAAAAAATATGAAACGCGCTAATGATTCCACTTTTTACAGTCTTACTAAGTAATCATTATGGAATAAAAATTGAATTTTTTTAATATATCCGAGGAAAAAATGAAATGACAGATAAAATGAAACAGAGTTTTATTTCTTCATAAGTCAAAGTCATATTTGAGTGTATTTGAATATAATTTTTTAAACTTGATTTAAGTTTATCATTTAAAAAATAATTTTTATCTTCAAACTTGAACATCCATTTTAATAAAAAAATTTGAAGATCATTTAAAAAATATTTGTAATTGTATGAAAATAAAAATATAAAATAAAATTAACTAAAAGGAAATGATTTAGGATGCACATGGTACATTGATGGGCAAGATCTAAGATAGAATTAATAAATTTTGCATCTGTTTCACGAGGATGCATAAAATATTGTTATTGTTTAGGTAAGCGTGTTCACTCATCCAACTTTTTCAAAAGCATTATCATCAAGAAATTTAAGATGCAGATAATATATTTATCTTTTCCTTTTCAAACTTAAACAGACCCAACTTTTGCTTTCAATTATTCCTTTCAAATGTACACCATTTTCACAATTAATGCTTCCAAACAATAACTTTAAAATTAAGATAATAATATTTGTTTTTCTATAATAAGAACATTATTAGAGAGTTTTTTAAAATATGGAAAAATTTAAATTGATTATTATATAAACTAAAATTAGTTTATTCATAAAGTTATTCGTAAAATAATTATATATTTGTTCTATTTTTTTTATCTGTATACAAAATAACTTTTAGTTTATAAAAAAATATTTTTTTTATTTTTTAATTATATATTTATAATTAATTATATTTTTAGTGGTGACTTTTGTCAAGAACATCAAACTGAATATTAAAGAGTGTTTCAATGATAATTCGATAAAATGATAAAATAATAGAGCAATCAATAAATGGATTGAACTTTAAATTGACCAAGGAGGTGAATTCAGATAAGTATATTCAATCATATTTCCCATTAAATTTAATAAAATAATATTTTAATAATATAATAAATTTATAATAATAATATTTTTTAAATAAACAAAATAATAAAAAATATTCTTATAATTATTATAAATTAAAATTAAAATTATAACACCATCAAAACATAATAAAATAATTATTATTAAAGTTAATATAATTAATATAAGATAAAAAATAAACAATATTATATTTTTTATAAAAAATTCATATTTATAAATCATAAAAAAATTGATTTTTTTTACCAAAATCAGTTTTTAGACTTAATTTTGAATCATCTTTAAAACAGCAAAATCATTTATAAACTTTGATTTTATATTAAAAATTAAGAAGTATTGAAAATAATTATAAAAAAATTGATTATAAAATGAAAAAATTTATATTGATTATATAATATAAATTAGTTAATATAAAAATATATAAATATAAACATAAATGAATGAATAAAATACCACTTGTTTCGTTATAATATTCTTTATTACTCGTGTGGTGGTAGATCAAGAAAAGAAAAATAAAATCAAAGAAAATCAAATTGTGTACGCGACATGTTAGTTAGTATTGATATTTAAAATGTGAAAATCAAAGTTGAAAAAAATTATTTAAAATAGAAGATGAGATTTGATAGGAGAAAAAAAAAATGGATAAAAGAAAGTAATATTTAATTGAGTGTGGATGAGTTGAAGGAGTATAATATCTCAGTTACTGACATGCACCCCCAGTATCTCACTCACACCTCATGCAAGAACCATCCATGATGACATGAAAAAGAATAAAATAAGTTCAAATTTTAGTGAGATGTGTTCGCCACATGCTCTTTTTCATTGAAAATTGCACCAATTCAGCAATCTCCATGGATATACAACAACCATGACTTCACCATGTCCAGTATTATATTTAACCATGCATGTTTGGTTTTTTCTTAGGTCACCCTCTTTATTTATTTATTTATCAATATATTAATCCAAAAAGAAAAAGTGAGCATTATATCCCTTAAAAATAATAATTAGATTATATAATATAATATAATAATAATAATAATAATAAAATAATAGAGTGTTTGATATAATATGTATTTTGATTTTGATTTTTTTAAAATAAATGATAGTGGCTTAAAATATTAATTTTGATGGACTGAGATTATAAGCCCAAGTCATTGTAAATGAAGATGATATGTACCCTATTAAACAAATAGGGTTTTAATGTACATACTACAAAATCATTTATTCAAATAGCGTTCACAAGTGTATATTTTTATCATAAAAAAATTATAAATTAAAGTTGTGTATGAACTATTAAAATTAGAAATTAGTGAATGATGATATAGGCTAATAATAAATATAAACTTAGTTGGTATAATTATGTGTAACTGCCTCTTTGATTATTGGGTTTGCAAGTCAACAAACACAACTTAGCACTCTATCCTATTGCCGTTGATAAAGACAACGTGTCACTGAACACGAGGTTTTTGCATCATTCATTTTCACACAATGTAAGAAAATTAAAACTACTACTGTAGCTTCTTTGTCCTTTATTATTTACTATAGTCAAGTTAAGAGAATAGTTAATATAATACGTATTTGGTTTATCCAATCTGTGCCTAAGTCTCATATTAAAGAATATTAATTATCTATTTTTTGTATTCACACAGAAAATATCAAGTATTAAATAATTAAAAATAATAACTAAATAAGTAAATTAATAAAATAAAATATTAATCACTTTTTCATGTTAATTAATCATTAATTTCTTTTATAAATTATAATATTTATTTAATTAGTTTTTTAGTTATATTAAATTTAGAATAAAATTTATATCTCTTAAATTCAAAATAAGGACAGTAAAGATACATTTATCATGTTATTATTATCATTATTATTATTATTATTAGTATATTAATATTTTTTTATTTCATTAACCCAGAAATAATATTATAATTCACAAACAATATTTTACGTAAATAATCCCTATGTTATAATAAATTAAGGATAATTGAGGGAGAACAACATCTATCAACATACATGTTACAATATATTAAAAAAACTTTGATATTTTTATCACAGTAGCTCTCAACATAATAAAGTTCTATTATGTTCTATATAGTGAAACTTCAAGCTTTATCACCTAATCACACCCAAGTACTAGTAAGTCTTATGAAAAATATATGTTAGATTTTAATATAAAATTAATTGATATTAGGTAAAATAAACAACAAGTGTTTAACTTATATTTAAAGAATTGAGATATGAGACTTTTCTTAAAAGAATAAAAAGAACTATTAACACTTTCTAATAAAAAAAATTGAAGACTACATGAGAATAATACAAACTTATTTTATTAAAATATGTCAAAATCAAACTATGTAAGAAGAAAAATTAAAATTAAAAAAATTATTTTTATTTTTTCTTACAAACCTATCAAAAGAAAAAAAAGAAAAACACAATTAAAAAATATAGAAAAATAAAAAATTATATTATTATTATTATTATTTTTTATATGTGAGTAAAAAATTAATATTTTTATTTCATAAATTTATTTATTCGATTTCTATTTGTTAATTATATTTGATACTCTTACACAGGTTACATAAACCGCGTTAACTTTAACGAGTAATTAGCATTCTTTTTTGAGATAGAGCATGTGTAAGTGTAAAACTAATTAAACTTTTTAAATTTTTTAATATGGGTGGACAAGACTACTATCATTAGGTATAACTAAAACTGTCTCTTCATTCATGTCTTCTTTAACTTTTCATACGCCTTGTGTTTGGTATTCAATAATGTCTATTTAATTTTGGTTTCCACATGCAATGTACTCGTAAAACGAGTTTTTTTAATCATTCCCATGGCTGTTTCCTTTTGAAATCTTACCCCAGTTCAAATCTCAAACAAAGAAAAAACTTGCACCACGTTTTAAATATTAAGTAAACAACTATAGTGGGTGGGAAGAAACTCGAAACGAGTACTTGGTCACTCTATAAATAGCTCCGACTTGTGCTTATCTCAACACACTCATAGCCATCAAACCAACCAAACAAACATGGCTAGGGTTAGTGCTTTGTTTCACTCTTTTCTCTTGGTTTCTTCCCTACTACTGGCTTCTCAAACCCTAGTCTCCTCTAGGAAACTAGAAAAAAAACCTTCCCTTGTCCCTGGATTATCGTGGAATTACTATTTCATAGAATGTCTAAATCTTGAAGGGATCGTGAAGGGTCATCTGGAGAAAGCTTTCAAGACGGATAAAGGATTAGCTCCTGGCATTCTTCGACTCTTCTTCCATGACTGCTTTTCTAATGTGAGACAGAATCATAGCTTTTTTTCCATCTTTATCTTCACCAATAAACTTTCTGAATTGATGGTTGTTTTGGACTGAACCAGGGTTGTGACGCGTCCATATTGTTGAATGCAGACGATGGACAAGATGAAAAAAGCCACCCTGCTAACATTGGTATAAGACCAGAAGCTCTTCAAGTCATTGAAGACATTCGAAGTCGCATTTATTTGCAGTGTCTTCCGGTTGTTTCTTGTGCAGACATCCTTGTTCTTGCAGCACGTGAATCTGTTCGCCAAGTAATTTTCATTCACTATTTTTTTCTCCCTTCTTTTTCATTTACTATTTTTTTTATCACAATATTCTTTTTTCAAAAGTTACCTTTTCACACGTAAAATATCGAGTTAGACTATTCTCTCCGCACATAGTTTTTGCACCATGTTTTCCTTTTCTTTGTATCTTCCTTCATTTCATCCAAATTTTTTTTTCGTATACCTGTTGTAGAACAAAAAAAGTTGACCTAGTATATAATACGAGGGCAAGTTTAAAATTTAAAACATCTATTCTTGTGTCATGAGACATATTTAAAAATATATAATTGGTTATCAGTGTCTTTGGTAGAGGTGAGGTGATGAGGGAGTGATACGTAAGAAAAGAGGAAAAATGAGAGACATTGCGTGATTTGGTTGAAAAATTACACGAAGAAAAATAAAATAATATATATATATATATATATATATATATATATATATATATATATATATATATATATATATATATATATATATGCAAGTTGAATATACCAATTCACATTTAGTTGTATAGATAAGAGTATGTAAATTGTATACTAGTTATAATATTATAAAAAAGGATATTAATAACATGTTTCAAAATATGAAATGTTGATGTATCCTCGAAAAAAAAAGATCTCATACAATCTTTTTCTAAAAGAACAGAAAATAAAATAAAAAAATGCACACATACTAATTATACATAATATAAAAAAAACTCTGTTTATTTTATTTTAGGAAAAAAAAATTAAACCTTATTCAAATAGATAAAACTCAATTCCACATTTACATTTAATGATAAATGGTAAATAAATATCATAAAAAAGTACTAAAATATACTCAAAAACTTAAAAAGTTTGATTTCGTATGTATTTTATCTTCAAAGCACTTATATGTAGTATAGAGACAACCCAAAACCCAAATTCAGAAGTATACAACTCTTCTGCACGTTAAGAGTTAAAAGAAAAAAAAAAAAGCCTGCACCAAACTTGATTGTTTATAGAGTAGTGATATTTTGACAACCAGAAACCATACAACTTCTTCAAACAATTCACTTTTATTAATATAATAATCTATAGACTGATTTAAAAAAAATAAAAATAAAATAAAACTATTATTATAATATTAAAACAGAGTTGTTTACAGAAATTGTATGGATTTGGATTGTCAAATATCATTTTCCTTGTTTATAATGTCTTCTTGAGCCCCTTCACAATGAACGAGAACATTCATAACAAGATCTTCTCTTTTGTTCATTTTGGTTACTTTTGATTTGTTGCAGTTGGGAGGCCCAAGTTTCGATGTGCCCCTGGGAAGAAAAGACAGCTTCACATTTGACCTAGACGGACCGGACAACCTCCCACCTTCATTCTTCCGAACTGACGAGCTCCTCGATCTCTTCGCCGAGAGAGACTTCGACGCCACAGAACTGGTCGCCCTCTCCGGCGCCCACACCTACGGTAGGTCCCACTGCCTCTCTCTGGCCAACAGAACCACTGAATCGGACCCACCCATCGACCCGGACTTCAAGAACAAGCTCCTGGCCACGTGCCCCACTCTTGATTCCGACAACACCGTGGACCTGGACGTGCGCACCCCGGCCACGTTCGACAACATGTACTACATCAACCTGCTGAATCGGCAGGGTGTGTTCACCTCGGACCAGGACCTCGCGAGCCACCCCCAGACGAAGGAGATCGTGAACACGTACGCCTCCAACCAGAAGGAGTTCTTCAAGGCATTCCAGGACGCGTTTGTGAAGGTGAGCCAGATCGACGTCATCACGAGTCGCCAGGGCAAGGGAGAGATTCGCAAAAAGTGCTTCACCCCCAATAAGAAGAGCATGGTTTCAGTGGAGGGTGCGGTGGAAGAAGTGGTGCAGTTGGCAGAGACCATTTGAGAGATATGGGGTTCTTCGTGTTTTTAGTTGTCCATGTTTATGTTTTAGTTGCCTAGTTGCCCCTTTTGAAGATGGTTTGTGTAATAAAACGCTGATGCTTTTATTTTCTTCCTACCTTTTTCTTCTTCTGGCTGCTTTTGATTGGGTCATAGCAAATGAATAAATAGTGCACAAGTATATGAATAATATGAAATGATTGAAAGAAATATTCAAACGCGGGATAATTGCCATTGCCAATTGTGTCAAGAAAATAGTCAAATATTTACTTAATCCACGATGGGAACGAAATAGTGACTAATGAGTAATGATCATTCAACGTCGGTTATACAAGGCATTCAATGTCGGTTTACGTCGTTGATTCAGGCGTCGTTGAATGTCAAAGGATTCTACGTCGGTTCAGAATATCCGACGTTGAAAGTGATATAAATGTCCGTCGTAGAAATTAGTAAATTCTACGTCGGTTATTAAACTAACCGACATTGAAAGCCCTTTCTCACTCAAGCGGCCGGTGTACTCGCTTGAGCGACGAAGCCTTCAAACAAAGGGGACTCTCGGGTTCTGTATCGCTCAAGCGACCTCTGTATCGCTCAAGCGACCGACGTTAACCGACGTAGAATATCTCTTTTTTAAAAAAAAAATGTTGGTCTGTTTTAGTGCCACCAACACACGACCTGCTATAATCTCGATCCAGACAGGTATATTTATTTCGGATAATCACTTATATATAAAATGATAGATATATATGTCAAAATCGGCCAAATTATGTACAAAATACACAAAAAATTATCAATCAATCCTATTCCTAACTACTTGTACAAACTTTTACGCCCATTTGTTTTTAACCATGTCTATAGTATCCATAGACAAAGGTTCTATATCTTTAAATGCCTGTAAGAAGTTGACAATAATAGAATTAAACCCTAAGCAATAAAAATAAAGGAATTGAATATAATAGCAAATGTCAACTTACCTCATTCCAACTATCCCGAATGCTACCAAAAATGATGAGCCACATCCAATACATTACATAGTAGCGCATTTCAGTATCCTCCATTTTGTTTGTTACACTAAAAATGACTAAATATGTTAAAAATAACTATTAAATTTGAACATAAATTAATAGATAGTATAATATATATAAAAGCTACTTACTTTGATAAAATTCCAATTTGGAGCTGTGCTTTTACTTGTGTGTTTTCCACCTAATGTACTACAAACCTTGAGAGCACTATATATTGAAAAGAAGGGGGTTAGAAATAGAATAATCAAGATGTTTAGACATAATATAAGAAATACTTACTCGTTTACAATATTTTTTAGCTCCATGTCAGGTTTCCTTCCCAATGAGCAAAACCAACACACAAGATTCCGCTTTGGACAAATAACTAATAGTTGCCGAGTGGTTTCTGTATATACACATGATTAGAATCTATTAAAAAAACTTGTGTAAAACCGGAAGAGGTTCGGGATAACTTACGAATGATGGTATGCTCCAAGGTAAATATCTTTTAGAATCGGTGATCCAATTCCGCATGTAGCGAGAATTTGATCATGCTTATTCCAGGACTTTTGTATGGATTGAGGCTCGAAGAATCCATACACATGACCAATGCCCTGCTCCACTTATCATTTCGTGCATCATCCTAAAATATGCCAATTTAAGTGAACTTATAGCTTATATGTTTACTAAAATGAAAAGAGTCATGAAAGATATGAACTTACAATGTCCAAAATTGTAAAACGGCTATATTTAGACATTGATTGCCCATCCCAATCTCCAGGGCATCGGTGTGGGAAATGTATAGGGGGATATTGCTAGAAGTCATCCCAAATAATGTACAATCCCATGGAACTTGGAATGACTCCGGATACAATTGTGGGGAAAGAGACAAGAGATCAAAAATTGGATTTGGAGAAGTCTTCACAAGCTGGTGTCTTCTCCTTAGATGCGAAGGAGTGGCAATAGCTTTACCCAAGTCTTTTGGCTACCGAACATCCTACATATTTTATAAAATATAATCATAAACAATAAATCAATTTATTTATGTGTTAGATGTATTATAACCATACATATACATACCTTTGCCATTATTGACCTAACTAAATGTCGAGGCCAAGTAATGAAGGTCCGAAGGGCTTGGCCCACTATGCTGCACCTCTTCGGTGGGGATAGGGACACTAGCCGCGGCGTCAACCACCTTTTCAACCACTACTTTGACCAAGTTAGGATCCAAAGGCACATTGTGGATGGTTGAAGCCCCTTCATGAAGCTGATCCATGAGCCACTAGCCTTAGACCTTCATCTACCTCGACCCACAAGCCATATTGATCATCCTTTGTGGATTCGGGATGAATAGATGCCACCTCGGGTGTGACCTCGATAGTGGCTTCGGCACTGATTGCCCTTTGTGCTAACTCTTGGACCTACAAATACGAGTAAATTCCAATAAGGACTAAGATTTTAGAAACATAAGTCAAGTACCAATTTGTGGTTGAAAATGCACACGATGGAGGATGAGCATCGGCAAATGAAGTACCCATGGAGGTCATACGCGAGAGCCGCTCCTGCACACGTGCGGTGATGGTCTCCTCAAGTCGTGCGGCGATGGCGGAGTCAACTCTTCCTCCAATTTTGCCCTGATGGCTGGTGTCAATTTCTCTGTGAGAGCCATCTCCAAGGCAACAATATCTTCTTGGCTCAGGGATGTGGAGGTGCGGATATCCTGTGATGGTGGTCCAAAATAGTGTCGGACACCCACACCTTGGCCAACAGCTCGAACACGACCTGGATGTTCTGGTCGTCCAATAGCAGTGGTCACTAGTGCAAAAAGGGGCTTTTACGTCAGGTATTTAGGGCTTTTTACGTCGTATTTAAGTCCGACGTAAAAGCGGGAGACGTAAATTTACGTCGGACCCTTTTACCCGACGTAGATTTACGTCAGTTATGAAGATACGACGTAATTTTGCGTGGCATATACAATAAACAGACGTAAAAACCTTTTCAATTTAAAAAAAAAAAACAGAAAATTTACGTCGCATACGGTATATACGACGTAAATTTACGTCGCATACGATATACGACGTAAATTTACGTCGCATATACCATATGCGACGTAAATTTACGTCGCATACGATATACGACGTAAATTTACGTCGCATATACCAATATGCGACGTAAATTTACGTCGCATATGCGTATACGTATATGGTATATGCGACGTAAATTTACGTCGCATATTGGTATATGCGACGTAAATTTACGTCGTATATACCAATATGCGACGTAAATTTCTTGTTTTTTTAAAATTGGGTTTATTTACTCGTTTTACAACTAAAACACTGCAAAAATTACAACCGAGACAGTCAGAGCAGTTTTCTTTTGCTAGTAAATTAAAAATATAATATTATATAATTCAAACTACATAATAAAACAAAATAATACAAACATACAAACTAAAAAATCTATTACAAACTAAGCTACCTATACAAACTAAGCTACCTATACAAACTAAGCTACCTATACAAACTAAGCTACCTATACAAACTAAACTAAACTACATAATACACACAATATAATATGAACAAGAACATAAAAAATAATGTACTAGAATTGTAGAACAAAAAATTTTGCCCATTGTTCTCTAATTTACGTAATCTCGGATTACGGTAATGGAGATGGATCTTGAAATACACGAAACATGAATTTGACTCTTGTAAGCATGCAACATGAATAAAGTTAAATAAACTTAACTAATGTTAAAAGTAATTACCTCCAGTCCAAGAATCAATTAAACCCGCACAAACTATGGCTCTCATCCAATACATTACATAGTAACCACATTCAAACGAGTCGGTTTGCTTATTACATTGAAATGATGAAAAAAACATAATATTATTTTCAAAATTGAAATATAAACAATAATTATGGTATTCACTTATATAAATAAGTTTCTAACCTTAGGATAAATGAAGCTGCAATGTCTTTGTTCTAGGTTTTCCACTTAGAACATTAGTTCCGGACACGATTCTAAGTGAAAAAAAGTCATATATTATTCAATATGTATTCACAATTTAAAAACATAATTAATGAATAAAAGATAAAGTTACCCTTGTAATAAGCTTTTCATTTCTTGACTCGGTTTCGATGTAATGAACAAAACCATACCACGAGTGTAATCCGGGGTATGATTACAATTAACTGCCAATGGGACCTACATTGTATGACATAAAAATTAGTTACAAAAATATAAATTAAAATACAAATTAAAATACTAACCCTTCAATGTATGGAGCCAAATATATATGTCTTCTTGAGTCACTCATCCATGTTTGCATATATTGTTGGATTCCAACCTTTGTATTTCCAGATTTTTGGATGGATTGAAGGTGTTTCATGTATATCTAGAGACTCATCTTCATGAATTCCGTGCATGCTTCTTCCTTCTAGGACAATTGACCATCTCTCATTACATGGATCCTTGACATAAAATATTTGTCTCGCTTGATATGCCAAAATAAAAGGTTCATCCTTATACCCAACTTTACTCAAATCAACCAAAGTAAATCCTAGGTCATCTGTTCGCACACCCGTATTCCCTTCAACCCATTTACACTTGAAGACAGGCACCCTAAAAGTAACATAATCAATTTCCCATATCTCTTGTATGACCCCAAAATAACTCATAGAAGTCTGTGATAGGATTTTTGTCTTTAGAACTAGAAAAATGCATAGATTCGGCTTGAATTGTGACCTCACTATTTTGTACTCTACCTTTATCATCTTCTATTTTTGAGTAGAAACAATAGTTATTAATGTCATACCCACCAAATGTAATGACATCACTATTAGGCCCACGAGCAAGTCTCAAAAGTGTTTACGAAGCATTAATCTCAACATATACCCTTTTTTTAAACCAAGAAAGGAAACTTTTGTTATGTTCATTCAATACCCATTTTTCATTCATTCGTGGATGTGTTGCCTTTATTTCGGTTATGTGTTG